TATATACATTCATATTAACATCTTGTAGTATATACATTCATATTAACGTCTTGTAGTATATACATTCATATTAACATCTTGTAGTATATACATTCATATTAACATCTTGTAGTAAATACATTCATATTAACATCTTGTAGTAAATACATTCATATTAACATAAGTCTCACAAGTAAAAAAAACATACCGGTAATAATACCAGTACATGAAATGATGAAAAGTATTTTAGTTTCAGTTGCTACCTTGCTAGTTTCCTAAGTTTTGAACACGTCTTAAAAAGTAATGTCTAGTTAATATCTGAGTTTTCAGTATTAAAATTTAAAAAAATCAGAGCAGCAAATAAAAATCTACCTGCTGACTTCGAAATGTTTTGGTTTCCTGTTGCTTATTTCTTGTCCACGAAAAGTAATTAATGAAAAAAATTAGAAAAGTAAGTAGTGTTCAATATAAACATTGTTCCTCTTCCACCTTTTCATAATAATAATAATAATCCTAGATCCTCCTAGATCTAGTTATCACATCTGCTCTAATGGTCCCTGATGGTTTTTATTTGATTTTAGTCTTAGTCACTGCAAATACAGAAGACAAGTTAACCCTGTGCATTAAATATTTCCTTCATATAATTAAATATAAAGAAACATGCTGGGTAAAACCACAATTCATTTGTATACTACAAAATGACTTCAGCGACGTTCAGTTTAGTAAAAGTGGATTATTGATCAAGTTGTATTTCTGTGTGTACTTGATGGTGTGTGGAATTATACCATACCATTTTATTTATAAAGCACTTAAAACAGCGACAAGGCCGACTAAAGTGCTGTACAGACAGAACAACAGGTAACACACAAAGCAAAATACAAAATGAAGTAAATCAAAATATAGACATAAAAATGATGCAGATAATGACGACTAACCAGTGTGGAGCGTATAGGATCAAAACACAGATCATCATTATGATGATATTATGATGTGGTGATCAAAGTATTTTAATATGTAAATAATATCAGCAGACATCTTGTTATCAGTTCTCAGGCTTGTAGTTAATCTCCTTCATCTTATCTATTAATAATTCCTGTCACATCACACTGGCTATGTACAGATGTTGCTTCTTATTGCCGTACTTTGTACTGCGGGTGTGTACAGATGTACACTGGGGGATGTAAGAGGACTTCACAACTTTGTTATTAGGAATAGTTGTAGTTTATTTGATACAATTAGTTCAATAAGTTTCTCAGTCACCTTTTTTTATTTTTTAAGCGCGTTTTCACTTGTTGGACTTGTTACTAGGTTATACAGTATAGTGGAGAGGATATTTTATGATAAAAGACCCGTATGATGCAGTAAAGACAAGCTCATGGTGCTCAGTGCATAAAGAAATAAGAGTAAAACAATTTTCATATACGATTTCAGATTAAATTCAGCTTAAAGGTCTGCTGTCAGTGTGCTACGTTCATTAAATGCTGACTTGTTGTTTTATTAATCCCAAGTATTAATAAAATGCTCTTCAAATGGCTGGAAAATGCATAGTTTTGAGAAGATTTTTTTAAAATCATTTTGGGGGGGGGGGGGTGGCTATGCCCCTCGACCCCACTAGGTCTACTTCACTCCATAGCAGCTTACCAGTACATATCGGTGTCCCTCTTAGCCATCAGCAAATGTCGGCTATTCTGTTTCAAATTCAATATAATGTTCCCAGATTTAGTTGGACAACCTGGTTTCTAAAGATAATATAAAAGACAAAACCATTTCATTTTGTATGTGAATGTACGTGGTAAACGACAAGTCTTGGTACCGGTCCATACACAGGACTAGTTTTCAGCTCAGGCTGCTGCAGAACATCAGCTGGTGTTATAATGGACAAACTGTGTTTTCTGTTCTGCAACAGAAATCGTTTCTTGACTTTTTTCCTCTGTACTCTTGTCAGTGTCGCGTTTTCCTACTTGTTTCCCTCTTGCTTGGGCACCAGAGGGCTTTGCTTGTTTACACATTATCTGCACATTCATTCAACCTTTATTTCTACAGGTTAGTCCCATTGAGCCTCGAGGACTCATTTACAAGAGAGACCTGGTTTTAACAAAGAATGATGACGACAATGAACAACAGTAGGCAATCACAAAAGACATTAGCGTTTGCTTGCAGGCCGACTCTGAGATGTAAAATGAACTAGAAGCAGTTTTTGAAAAATCTATAAGACGTCAGCGACAATGCAATGAGATGTATGGTACGCTCAGCGATAGCAAAAACAAGAAGGATTTTATAAAAATAGTTTTTGACAGTTAATGTAGACGGTGCGGGACACGAGTAGGCGACAAAATCGCTGCCTGTTGTTGAGAAGGCAGCAAGCTAGCTATAGCCAAATGTCAGACATCTGTTGGTAGTCTGTGACATCTGTCTGCACTTGACATTAGATTGTCTCTCTTTGTATCAACACACGTTTAAAAAACATCCAGAACTAACCATATTAACAGAACATTGTCTCAACCTATTAACATCTGACTTTTGAACCTCTGTTCAATTTAAAACTACAAGGACAGAATATTAGTCAGCTCAGTTGTTCGTTCCTTCAGGCACAGATGATGCCTCCGTTGATTTTAAACACCATCATGGCAGCATGCACGCTTCTCTTGTACACGCCAAACAACTGACGAACTTTTTGATCAAATGTTTGCAAATCTAAAGAAGATACCAAGGTGATTTATGTTAGCTTCTTCATCATAAATGTCGTTCTAATGCTTTACTTAACTGTGAGGTTGTACGTTGGTGTGGCTCTGCAGGTAATACGACCTCCACCAGCTGGGAGGGATTGGGTGTTGCTTCTGACCTTTTGAGGGCGATTGAGTCAGAGAGAGACTGAAAATGTGGGAAAGTTGCAACTCCTTGGCTGTTATTAGGGATTGCAGACATGTTGGCCAATATGAAAAATTGTACGGTTTTTTTTACAGTTTTTGAGCTCTTGATTTTTTTTATGTCCCACTATCATGTTTTCTGAAAGTAAGTTGATTATTTGTTTGTTCTGTCCTTTAATATAAATATGATCTGCCTGTGTGGTGTAATCAACTTAGAATTTTCTATCTTTGCTAAGTTCTGATTGCTTTATAACATCCAAGAGCGTTCTGGATTGACCCACGTTAACTTAGTGCACGTGTGCTTTATGTGAATTTGTAAGTTGGTGTGTTTCAATGTGATTAGACTGTTGAAATGCAGAATTACACAAAGACTATTAACGGTAGTTAATGGCTTCACTTTACTGGCAGCACGATGGATCAGTGGTTAACACTGTTGCCTCACAGCAAGAAGGTCCTGGGTTCAATCCCCAGATGGATCTGGGGTCTTTCTGGGTGGAGTTTGCCCCCTTCTTCTTGTGCTTGCGTGGGTTTTCTCTGGGTACTCCAGTTTCCCCCCACAGACCAAAACCATGCATGTTAGTCTGCCTTCAGGCCCAGACCTCCTTTGCAAGAGATCTGTGATCTCAGTGGGATTTGCCTGGTTAAATAAAGGTCAATGATAATAACTTTTTTGGTTCATCAGGAAACCTTTTTGTGCTTTGTATATTTTTTCAGTTCTTCTGGGACATTTGTGTTTGTCCTTATCAAATGTCAGCATCACAGTTGTGAGGATCAGTGTTGCCAGATCTCATGAGAGAAACAAGCCACCGAGCTACAAAAACGAGGCCAGCAGAAGCAACCGACCCACCATGACTCTGGCCTCACAATTACCAATAAAAACCAACCAATGAAGGCAACAAGTACAATCCAATCAGAGGCAGTTGACAGATACTGCAGCTGGATTTTTGTTTAGAGAGTCAGATATTCTTTCGAAACTATGTACACAGGGTCCCAGTTACATCCAACAATAAAAATGTAAAATAAAAATGATAACGTCTAAGATACGAACTAAGAAAAACATTGACTAAAAATACACTTAAGCACTAATAGCATAAAAACGTTACGTCGAACAGCAGCACGAACATGAGTCTGTGCGAGCAGTTAGTGAACAGAAACACGACGGGTCCATGTAAGGAACTACACTCCAACAGAAGCCTCAAAGACGCAGCCCGTCACTAAACCTTTTCAAATGAATTTACAGAAAAACAAGCCCAAAGTCACTTTTAATAAGTGGACGTGGCAACTGTGCTCATGAGTAAGGAACATGATGACATGAAGAAAAAAAACGAACATTTTCAAGTTTTCTGCTTTCCTTTGATGTTGATGCTACTTCTGTTTGTGGGGTTATTTTTCCTAGATGTGTTTGTGGACTGGAAGCAGAACGTTAATGAGGTGACGGTCAGACTTCGCTGTGGGGAGGGAGTCCAGAGGATAGAAGACATCAACACCACGTTCACTGATACGCACTGCAACGTGTCCTTCCCAGGTCAGCACTCATAAATTCTGAACATTAATTACCAACGTGGAAATTTAGATGCAATCAACGGTTGGAGTAATATCAGAAGAAAACAATACACTGTGTTTTTACTTCAAGTGCAGACGTTTGTATTTATTTAAATCCAGTTTTACAATTCATCCAAAATAACACACACGTGATTATTAATTATTTTTTTTAATTCTCCCAGATGGACGGCAGTGGAGCTGCCAGTTACAAGAGGAAATTGAGGCCTCGTGTAGCAAAGTGCAGTACAAGGAAAAAGGAGGATTCCTGCATCTTGTCTTGCACAAGAAAATCCCCTTTCATATTTGGCGTTCTCTGAAGGTAATCCTCATCAAATTACACGATTTTGCTTTTTCATTCCAGCTGAATTCATCTGGGCTCAGAATTTTATTCAACTCATAACTTCTTTATGACCTCATCATGTCGTAGTCATGTGCATGAATGGGACTTTGACACCAAACAGGATTTTTACACTTAAAGTGGATCTTCATGTAGGAGGCTGTAATATTGACATTTACTTAATTAAAACAAAACGTTTCATATTTTTAGTCACTTTTATCTCTTCTTGTTGACGATGGCGAGGACTATAGGAGACGAAATAGTCATTGTTTTTTTATTGTTGTTGTTTTCAGTCGAATAAGAAAGAGAAGGTGGTGGTACCAACAGAGGCCAGAAACAACGGGGAGTCACCAGAGAAACCCAAACTGTCGTCAGACCGGCCGCAGCCCCAGCCGCCTCCTTCGCCCACACACAGTGAAGCAAGACGCAGCAAAGCTGAGCGGGGCGTCAAGCGCTGCCTGAAAAACAAAGTGTGCGACAAGGCTTCAACAGACTCTGTACGAGCAAAGAGTGGCGCTGGAGATTCGCCGAACATTATCAGCGCACCTAAGACAACCACAAAAACTGGTCAGGAGCCCAGTGCCAAGAGAACTATTGCACAGCTGCCCGAGACCGCTAAAGAGGACGAAGGAGGCCCGCCGTCTGAGAAGTCTGCAGCAAATGAGAAAGCCCCTCTCGCCCACCCGACTGCTGACCGAAGCCCGCCGGCACACGGGAGTGGAGACAACAGGGCAGAGACCCAAGGCGCTGATCAGGAACCTGAACTGAACCCGGCTGTTGGCAGCATTGCTCTGGTGAGATCAGCTGTACGTTTGGCCGCCATATTGAAAACCTCAGCTTCATTTAACTAACTCTAACCCGCCGTCCAGAGGACCCGACTTAGATTTTCTTACCTGGATTATTGAGCATGCTTCAGGATACTCGGCTTCATTTGTTTATTAAGGAATACAAACTTTATGTTGATGAAAATTACGTTATCCTGGCTTTAAATACTGATGTTTTCTATGCTCAGCATATTTATGTCTGTTTTCTGTTAAGTTGTGTAAGTTTGTTTTATGTGACTTCAGATCTTCACGGCTTCATGAGGAGCATGACGGCAGTTTCACTCAGATGTTGGTCATTGTTACGTAGTAATGCTGTGCATTAGCTACAGAAAAACCTTTAGGAACATAAACGAGGTTAAACACAAACAGATGAACTTTCTGAGCTTGTGAAACTTTGTGTTAACATTAAAACGTTTTTAAGCTCTTCATAATGGTGACCTGCTGTATCGGCCAGAAAACAGCAATCGGTGCAGCCCTAATTTACACATATTAAATTTTAAATAGTTTTATTGCTTGTTCCAAGAGATACATTGGCTTCACCTAAAGGTGGTTAAAACTAGGGGTGCAATCGGTGCAGCCCTAGTTAAAACGGTGTTATTAGACTTTTGTCATTGTTTAAATAATTCATAGTTTTGGTGCAAAACTTTGCTGTGCTTATGTTTTGAGAACCAATGGTCTACATCACAATGGTAAATTAAATCGGTACTGGATTTAGATATTGCGCATAATTAGACATTAAAATAATTGCACGAACACGAATTGTTTTAAACAAGAAGTTAAAAGACAAAAACAAAATTCCCTTCGCTGATACAACTTTACAACATTACAACCTGTAACGCCATCTGTCGTGTGTGGGCTCTTTGTTTATGAAACACAAATTGGAAGACATTCTTAATTTTAAATATTTTATATACAGAATGTCTCTGTTTAAATTAGCTCGGGTGTTTTGATCGTATTTAATTAGATTGAGTCTTTTCTTTCTGGAACAACAAGACCTGGAAGAAATCCTTCAAACGTGGGATAACCAGTATTGAACTCATAGTTTTGGTTGAAGTTTTATTTAAAGTTAACAGCACTTTTTCTTGAGTTGTTTTTTTTTTTCCGTTGACTTCGAACGTGTTCGGAGTAAAGATTCGTTTCGGGTAATTCGTTTCTTTTTGTTTCCAATTCAGGGGGCAGAGGCAAGAAACGAGTCATCGGACTCGCCTGAAACAACAGCACATGTCATGGAGTCACCTGCCCTCACCGCTCGCTGCCTCCAACCCACTGGGTTCAGTGAGAAAATGGACTGTACTGCTCCTGAGAAAACAAAAGACAGAACAGAGTCCGAGCCTGCTGAGCACGAACTGGAAGAGAACACTTTAATCTCTCAACTGCTCGAAGACGCAACAGAGACGCTATCAGTGCCAGCTGCCTGTGTGGCTGCCAGGCAAAGCCAGACTCCAGGTCCAACTCAGAGGCAGGGTAGCCGTGATGGGGAGGAGAAGCGGGACCAGTCAAAAGAAGAGCCAGCCCTAGAGACAAAGCAGCTACAAGGTTAGTGAGAAGTTCGTACGGAGGTAGTTTACCGTATGCTAGCACCAGAACTACTTTTAATTGTGCATGGACTGGCGTTGGACAAATATTTTCATGATCTTTATATTTGGCATCTTGTTTTTCTTGTGCATGTCCTGCATTCATCTTAATTTCTATATTTTAATTAATAGAATACCAGAGACGTATTTAAACATGAAGGTTTGATAAATCTTTTTCCTCGCTGCAGCCCCAGAGCCAATGGTTAACCTGCAGTTCGTGAAGAACGACTCGTACGAGAAGGGCACGGATCTGATGGTGGTTAATGTTTACCTGAAGGGAATCTGCAGGGACACAGCCAGGGTCATCTTCAGGGAGCAAGACTTCACCCTCATCTTCCAGACAAGGTAGCAAACGTAAAGCACGCCGCTAACGAAATGTTCTTTTAACATCTTACAACAAGTAGCAGTAATTGATCATTTGGTTTGTCCTTAACAGTGACGCAAACTTTCTTCGGCTTCATTCGGACTGTGGACCAAATACGGTCTTTAAGTGGCAAGTCAAACTCAGGTATCTACTATAGTTTATTCTTTTTTATTATTTTATTAAATGCAATATGGAAAGAATAGTTTTTAAATGAGTAGGGAAACTTGAGTTTGTACCGCTTTATGCACAGTTACGTGGGCTAACTTGTTCAGATAGGCTTGCTGTAGTTCATGGTATCACCAGCTTGTACCAGCTATTATAATAATAAATTAAAATAGCCTTTCATGAAACCCAAAGACACTTTGCATAGGGAATCATTCTATTAAAAAATAAAACGCCAACTAAAAAATTGATTAAATGGCAAGAAATTATGTAACAAGACCAACAGATTCAGTAAAATTGTATTTTATGGCAAATAAGTGAACATTTCCATAGATGAAGCTTTGTGGATGTCAGCACTGAGAGCGTGGGGGTATGCAACTCTGAAGGCCCTGTATTATTTAAAACTAATAAATTGTGAAAAATCAAGTTTGCCAGAGCATTACTCAAGACTAAACAAATAATATAAACTAGCACAGGTCAGTTTAAGAGCTAAAACTAGAACAATATCATCAATTTTACCATTTGCCATTATATTATTTTTCTTATTTGACACTGGCTTGAATTATGAGACCTTGATGCAGTTGTAATTCTGTCTTATTTGAAATGTCACAGATGTCTTTAATAAATATTGTTATAATCTTAACGGGATGGAGATCTTTGTGAAACCTAAGTTTCAACCTAGTTTTGAAGGAACGGTCTAATTCAATCCAAGGAATTAGATTATGGAATAATTTGGAGAGCAATGTTAAAAATGCCAGATCAATGAGTATGTTTAAGAGAATGATCAAAGTTGGTTTGTTAAAAAAAATGTGAAATAGCTTAATGTGTATTTGTACGAATTGTTGCTCGAGCAGGATTAATTTATTTTGTTTTTGTTATTTCAAGATTATTATTGTTTGAATTAATTTTTTGGAAAAGGGCAGATGTTATAAGACTTTTTTTTTTCTGCTGCCTTTCATTTTATTTGTGATTGTATTTCTTGTTGTATATAGAATTGTTTTGTTTTAAAAGGAAAAAAAAAAAAGAATTAACTATATAAATAAAAATCAATAAAAATCCCCAAACATGTAAGAACGTTGCAGCACAGATCTCAGATGAGTTTCAAGCAGCTGCTGCACTGCTCTGCATTTTGTCCTCTCATCTGACCTGAATATATTTTGGCCTTCTGTGTGTCAGAAACCTGATCCAGCCTGAGCAATGCAGCTACTCCTTCACCCCGTCCCGTCTGGACATCTCCCTGAAGAAGAGACACAGCCAGCGCTGGGGGGCTCTGGAGGCCCCAGCCACACAAGGTCTGCTGCCAGGCTTCTATTTGTGTCGTCTACCTCTTCCCTTTTTCTCCCACCGACAGCCACTAGTTTTTATATTTGCATGAGTCATGGATTCAAGGGGGAAAGATGGACCAAAACACTTGGATCTGAAGTCTCTTCGTGTTTACAGTTAATGAGTCAGAACTCAAACTGTCACTTTGCAGGACTGTAATAAAGGCAAATTACTGTATTGATGAACTTTTAAGATAAAAACTTTCGTAGTATGTCTAGTCTCACTTTGTGGACTTTTACTTTCTAACCACAAGCTTCATTGTCCTGTTTAAGGTGCAGTGGGTGGTGCGAAGGTGGCTGTGCCCTCCAGTCCAGCCTGCATGGATAAGAGCCAGCCAGGCAGCAGCCAGCACAGCCTCCCAGCCAAAGAGGAGCCCCCCAGGGTTGGGGAGGACACACCCAAAACCCCCAAAGCCTCGTCCAGAGGTGTGGAGGACAGCGGTCTGGATCCTGTGGCTCCTCGAACAGTCTCCGAGCATGTTTCCATCACTAAGCCAGAACCCACTCTGACTACGGTAAAAACAAACAACAATAAAAAACACAAACGAGTTTAAAGGTTTATGAGTTATTGTCTCAACTACCGGAGCCAGCAGCCTGCACACTGTCAAACTGCTCAGACTTTAAAACAACTAAATCCTTACAATTTCTACATTTTACCATTTAACTGTTAATTATAAAAGTAAGTATTATTACTATTAAAAAGTTGATTTTTAAACGTGTTTTTAAGAGTACATATGTTTCTGACATTAGCCTAAGCCCACCTGCATGGTGCAGCCTATGACCCACGCGCCTCCTGTCACTGAACGCCACGAGGAAGAAGAGGAGAAGAAGGTGTGCCTGCCTGGTTTTACAGGACTGGTCAACCTTGGCAACACCTGCTTCATGAACAGCGTCATCCAGTCCCTGTCCAACACCAGAGAGCTCAGGGATTACTTTCATGGTAAACTACTTCAATTGCTCTTTTAACAAAGACACATCTGTTCGATTAGCATTCTAATAATAAAGTTCTTAATGTTGTAATGATCTCCAAACAAAACGATAACTTGTGTTATCACTAAGAAATACAGCAGGGCGTGTTTCATTACGACTTGGGTACAAGCACAAAGCAGAGCCCCAGGGGCAGGTTTAATTAGGCCTCAGTAACTTTCACAGGGTTTATCTTTATAAGCTAGAAATACTGCAGTTTCAGCACTTTACACTTTAAGAACAGCAAAGTTACCAACTTCAAAATGTAGGTCACCTTCTTTTTAGAGGAAATAACTGGAAAAGCATGTCATCAAACGAGAATACAAGCTTAGTCATGGTGATATTTTCATGTAACTAGTACGGTAATCGTTTCATTAATATGTCTGTAGCTTTAAAAAGGGTTTTTTGTTGGTCGCACTGCTGTGTTATTTAGTATAAAATAATTTTGGTTGCAGGCATTTCCAAGAGTTCGTCAGTTTGCATCAGTAATCCCAATCTTGTCTGAGCTTTTGTGTTTTGCTTTTGTACAGACCGGGCATTTGAGGCAGAAATCAACTGCAGTAATCCTCTGGGAACAGGAGGGAGGTTAGCCATCGGCTTCGCTGTGCTCCTCAGGGCTCTTTGGAAAGGGACGCACCACGCCTTCCAACCATCAAAGCTCAAAGTATGCGCGCCACATTTTCTATACACGAGAAATTAAACCAAACGATCTCGGTTGTTTAAAGAAGTTGTAGCTGACTCGTCACGTTTTCTGCACTTTCATCAACACAGGCAATCGTGGCCAGCAAAGCCAGTCAGTTCACAGGTTACGCCCAGCACGACGCGCAGGAGTTCATGGCATTCCTGTTGGACGGACTCCACGAGGACTTGAACCGCATCCAGACTAAACCATACACAGAGACGGTTGATTCGGATGGACGGCTTGATGAAGTGAGTTCCCCACTCATGCATGATGTAGAAATTTAAAGTGCCGTAATGTTCGCACTATTGAGCGCACCTGAATATAAGTCGCACCTTTTAAAGGAAAAAAGTGTTGTACATATATAGATCGCACTTGTCTATAAGGGTGAATTCACACCAGCCCTGTTTAGTCCGTTTTAATCAAACTCTAGCCGGTTTGCCTAGAAAGTCTGGTTCGTTTGGGGAGATGTGAATGCACAATCGAACTCTGGTCTGCCTAAATACAGAGGTCTCGGTTTGGTCGAAGTGAACTCTAGCCCGGTTCGAATGCAGTGTGAATGCAAGCGGACCGGAGACCGCTCCAAAAGCAGGAAATGGACAGCGCAGGGCAAACAAACGTGCGTTTCTCTTACCTCGTATGGAGCCGTCAGCCGCCTTGTGTGAAAAACAACATTCTCCGTGGTCTTCTGCCTCATCTTCCGCTCAGGCTGAGTCCGTTGTTGAAAAATGACAAAACAGAAATCTTTAAACCGCTAAAATTTGATGCCACTCCATTTTTGTTTTTATTTCCAGAAGAAGTGTCTTCTTCAGAAGTTTTTGTGTCGTTTCCTTCTGTAGTTCTTGGTGCAGCGCCCCCACAGGCGAGGGGGGGGGACAGGTTGGCTCAGTTGGCTCACTGCAGTGTTACTGTGAACTGCACCAGCTGAAAATGTAAATAATGTTCTGAATTTTGGTCCCCAATCGAACCGAGTCTACCGGACTGTCAGGTGTGAAAACACCCTAAGCCACAGGTGTCCACGTTGTAACATGAGATACTGACACGGAAATATTTGCTTAACTTTTAATTAAATACGTACTGGTAACATACACGAGTACGTACAGTAAATGCTTTTTCCCAAAACAGTGCCGGTAACAAGGCTGGTTAAAAAAAATAAAAATACAGTAGCCTACGAGGACGCCACTGATCGCTAGCTTCATCTTCCTCCTGCGCACTAAAACCACTAAAGTCTTCTTCAGTGTCAGAATTGAACGGTCTCAGAACTGCTTCGTCACACACGTCCTGCCTCTCTTTCCTCGTTGCGCTCAGCGGCACTTGCGTCTCGAGACAAATTTGCCCATGAGCTTGTGCTGTCCTCTTCATCACGCAGCAGTCCAGCCTTTCGAAACCCGTTGGTGATGGTGGCTTTTTGACGCTGCTCCACGCTGTCAGGATCCACTGGCAGACTTGTGCAAAAGTTGCTCTTCGCATGCAGCCAGTTTTGGTAAATGATGTCCCGCTGCCAGTCATCCAAGCCTCCCGCGCAGTTCGAAGTGCCACTTTAAATACACACTGATGCCGAGTGGCTGCAAATTCTTCGCCGTGTAATTCGAACAGTTTCATCGGTCTACCGTGACCTGTTCGCTAATTTCACTGGTGTGATGTGACGAGGCTAAATGTTTTGGCATAATGAAGCTTGTTAACCCGTAATAATCCATAAATTAGCTGCATCATTGTTTAAGCTGCAGTGCATGTAGGGAAAACTAGAGGCTTGTAGTCCAGAAATTATGGTAGCTGCTGATTTTTTTTTTTTTTAATGAATAAAAGTAACTTGGGAGTTCTTGCCTGTTTTATCCAACAAAAGCCTGGTCTGATGATTTGTTTCGTGTGTGGCTGCAGGTGGTGGCAGAGGAGGCGTGGCAGAGGCACAAAATGAGAAATGACTCCTTCATAGTGGATCTTTTCCAAGGACAATTCAAATCCAAGCTCGTGTGCCCCACCTGCTCTAAGGTAACATAACTACTCAATACTTAGTGCTGTAGTGTTGAACTTTCTTTCACCCAAACGTTTTCTTTCAGGTCTCCATCACCTTTGACCCCTTCCTGTACCTCCCCGTCCCACTGCCCCAGAAACAAAAAGTCCTCTCTGTTTTCTACTTTGCTAAGGAGCCTCATAAAAAACCAGTTAAGGTGAGATTTAGTCTCAGTGGTTCTCAATTCTGCCTTCATTCCTGCTGTACTGACACATACACTCACAATATGGGAAACTTTGATTTGAGAAGATGTAACCTTGTTTCATGTGCGAGCTTCTTTTTAACACGTCTTTGTGTCCACATGGCTTCCAGTTTTTGGTGAGTGTGAGTAAGGAGAGCTCCAGCACAGCAGAGGTCCTTGAAGCAATTTCCAGGAGTGTGAGGGTCAAACCTGAGAACCTCAGACTGGCAGAGGTTGGATTTGTTTTCATTTTTATTTGCAATTTTTATACCATTACAAAACTTTTTCTTTTATTCTGTACTCATCAAGTGGGCATATATTAAAGTTTAATTTTGATACAGTAACAGCCAAACAAAGCAGTTGTAATCGCTGAAAACGGTTGAGTTTAATAAAGTAAAGATGGGACATTCAAAGCAGCCGTACTTGTACATTTTTAAAACAAAGCCGAACTTGCTTCGTCTCTTCCAGGTGGCGAAGAACCGCTTTCAGCGCATATTTCTGCCGTCCCATTCGCTGGACACGGTGTCCTCCTCTGACATGCTCTTCTGTTTTGAGGTGCTTTCCAAAGATTTGGCCAAAGAGAGGGTGGTTTTACTTAAAGTGCAGCAGGTAAAAACATTATTTTACTTGATCCGGATAACAGCTTTGTAAACGAATCTGAAAAGTTTCCTGTTTGTGTTCTTTAAAGAAACTCCAGGTGCCGAATGTTCCCATCTCAAAATGTGCAGCTTGCCTAAAACCGCCGGTGTCTGAGGACGACAAGCTGAAGCGGTGCACTCGCTGCTATCGAGTGGGCTACTGCAACCAGTGAGTGTGCCTGTGTCAAACTCAGCAGCATAAAGGGGCCAAAACATTTTCCAACTCATGGGAAATGTATCGACTGAAGGCGATACATTAACCCAAGTCAGATACTCGACATCTTTTCTTGGTTCTAGGTTCATAAACAGGAGTTAATTTGGTCCCAATTGATGTTTTTGTGCTCCTCCATGTCAGAGTCAAATACAGTCCCTCGTTTATTGCAGGGGTTACGTTCCGGACCCCACGGCAATAAGTGAAAAACCACGAAGTAGGAACATTATATGTATTTTAGTATTTATATATATATGTTAAGGCTTTATAAACCCTTCCCACACTCTTGCAATGTTCTAATTTCTTAAACGTGTAATTTTAACAGCATATGTATATGTACTGCACAGTAGCTACTGCAAAATTTTACATGGGTACACACCAGCCTTGGTCCGGTTCTGGTCCGGTTCTGATCGGCTCTCTGCAGCCGTTAGTCACCATGACGCTTTTAGAGAGAGCCGGACCTTCGGCGAGTCAGCACAAACCCACACAATGGCCTCGAGCTAGGGCATTAACAGAGTACTCGAGTAATCTACACATCGATTGCTAGGACCTCTATCGAGGTTAAAAATGTAAAGTCGAGTAACCGTAGTGACGTCATATTATGTGACCGCCGTATGACCGTAGGGGGCGGTGTTGCACTGTTGCAGGTCACAGAGTATGGTGGGTCCAATCCACCGCCCATCCACTGTTTTAAGTTTCGTTTTTGACCTGCTGCGTTTCTTCACGTTTGCACTTTAATAATAATAACTAATAGTTATTTTTTCCTTTGACTTATTTGCAGTATGCATAATATACACTCCCAATGTTTTTTGGGTCTTTTTTTTGTAAATAATTACCTTTTATTGCGGTTTTATTTATTTATTTTTGTATCTTGAGCTCTGTGACGTCATCAAATACTCGAGTTCTACTCGGGTTTTATTATGTTAATGTCGAGTTTAAAAATTATATACTCGTTCAACCCCTACCTCGAGCAAGTCCAAATCCAGATGGAAAATGTCTCTGTGAGCTCCGGAGAAAACACCGGACCTCCAAGCAGCGCCTCCCTGCTCCAGAGGCTTCATGGCCCGGCAGGCGGCACTCGGATTGACCGATGAGGCTGGAAGTCTGTTCCGTACGGCTCTCTGCATCCACTGAGCGCCAAAGTCGCTATGAATAAGGATCAATATTTTTCGGATTGGATCAAAACTTTCCTTCCATTTCAGCAGAAAGAAACTTTTGGCTTCTTGGTAATGTAGTCCTTTTGGCTTATTGAGAGAAAACTACAAAATGGCGGCGCCTGCCTGAAGTATATATTTTTTCCGTTAACTTGTTGCTGTATCCCGTACTGCCTCGTGAGTAATATTAAAGTTGACAGTCGTGTGTCGTGTACAATCTTTTTTTTTTCTTGTATACAGTCTTACTTTGAAAAACCTCCAAAGAGTGAGTCCGCAAAAGTCGAACCGCGAAGTAGCGAGGGACTCTGCATTACAGAAAAATCAAACCTTTTTTCTGGCATCAAAGTTTGTCAACTGTCGTGGGAAACCTGCATTAAATTATTTTTTTTTAAGTAAAATGTGAAACAATAAACACATTTTTCATTTATTAATAATCTTGGGAGGCCATGTAAGATGTTAACATGGGCCAGATCTGGCCCGTGGGCCTTGAGTTTGACATTTGCAAACAAGGAGGTGGTGAGAGACATAATGCACAGAGACATACATGTGGACTTTTATGTGCATCTTTACCTTCTTCTCTTTCCAGAGTTTGTCAGAAGACACACTGGCCAAATCACAAGGGCCTTTGTCGCCCCAACTTAGAAAATGTGGGTTTGCCCTTCTTGGTCAGCGTTCCAGAGTCTCGGCTGTCCTACGCCCGCCTCGCGCAGCTTCTCGAAGGCTACTCCAGGTACACTAACTTGTTTGGTGCTCTTAATTTTATTTACTACAAGACGCACTTCAGAAGCTGTGAGGTTTGTTACATTTTGAGCCGTTATTTTAATCTCTAAAATGTCTCTGCAGGTTTTCTGTCAACGTATTCCAGCCTCCTTTCCAGTCGGGCAGGACATCTCCTGAAACATCCCAGTCTCGGTTAGACGCCCCACCAATACCAGCAGCCTCTCCTGAGGGTGTGGGTTGTGGGGAAGAGGCGTCGGGTGTTAGCAGCACTGTAGGAACAAGCGATCTGGATTTTGAGAGACGCTCTGCAGCGCCTGAAACCCCAGCAGAATCCTCTCAGGCCTCGGCTGTCCACTGCGAGGCGTCAGAATCCGTGTCCTCCTCCCAGACGTCACTCACGACTACAGGAACTAAAGATTCGGGATTCTTCGAGTCCATCTCCTCTGCTTCCTGCTGTTCTCTGGACCCTCATGCTGAAAAAGAAACGTCCTGTGAGAAGGCCGTGCGACCAGAAGGTAAAACACACAGGACAAACTTTAATATTTGTGTAATTTCTTTTCTGCTTGTTCAACTTTTTATTCCTCCTTTTCACTGTTTACTGTAGCGGCAGTAACAGGCTATCAGCAGCCAAGTGAATCGGCATCAGGCCATGCCAGTCCGTTCTACATGTCTCTGCTGGACTCAAACAGCAAGGAGCAGCGACTGGATGAAAAAGGTGCGACCAGATGCATGTTGATGATTTAAAATCTAACCTTGTTTTCATTTGTCTTCCCTTTGCTGAAACTCAATTGAAACGTAGCACGTGTTGGAGCTGTTACACTGCAATAAATTAACGTGATTATCTGAACTTCACAGAGGACGCACCAGCAGCCTTTCCCGACGATGCAACCTTGGATCTGGTGTGGAAAAACAACGAGCGTTTGAAGGAGTACGTGCTGGTGAGCTCCAAGGAACTGGAGTACGAGGAGGACCCCGGCTCCCTGAGTGAGACCGCCAGAGCAGGACATTTTACCCTGGAGCAATGCTTGAATCTCTTCACCAAGCCAGAGGTGCTGGCACCAGAGGAGGCCTGGTAAGGATCATTGTTTCAACTGAATGCTCAGACAAGGAAAATGAACTAGTTTTAGAAAATGTACTGGTTTTGTTTCATAGTTTTCAACCCAAGTTGTCTGGTTAAAATGTGTCAGTTCTTCACTGAAGCGCTCATGTCAAACATAAAGCAACGCATCCATCCATCCATCCATCCATCCATCCATCCATCCATCCATCCAT